AAAGAAAAGGAATTATAAGAAATTATACATAAAAACAAAACACATCCCCTTAACTACTAAAATTAGTAAATACAAATTCGAAATTGTACATTTAAATTGACTAGTTGGCAAAAAAAAAAAAAAAAACAAAAAAAAAACAAAAAACAAAAAAAAAGCGAAGTAAATGAAAAAGCAAAGCGCATCAGGCCCATATGCCACGCCCCTAGCTTGAAGCAAACATGCAAGCAATTTGGCGACAAGGCGTAGCAGTAGGAAAAACAACAATTGTAAGGCTTATACAGGAAAAACATAAACAATTTATCTATATACAAACAGTTAAGAGTATGGACAGCAGAGCTGCTTGCCTTAGCCAATGCGTCTGCTGTGGCTTATTGCGAGCGTGGGCGGAGGCGTGGCATATGTGTTTCGGACGAATTCGGGCGCTGAACAGCAACAGCAACAACAAGAGAGAGAGAGAGAGAGAGCAACAGCAAGAAAAGGAAGAAAAACACGTTACAAAATTTATAAATCTACCATTTAAAAGTAAAGTAAACACAACTAGCTAAAAGTTAAACTACATATATAAAGAAAACCTAATTAATAAGCGTATGTCGTATGTCGTTTGCATGTAAGCGAAAGTTGAACTTGAAACTAGAATTATATAGTGTTGGAATTATTATTTAGTTAAAGAAAAACGGATTGAGAGAACCGCTAATAACAGCAGCAAGAGCATGATTCACTAATACTAAAAGCTATAAAAGAAAAACAATACAAAACGCTCTAAACATAAAACAAAAACAAAACAAACAAAAAAAAAAACGGAAAAAGAATAAAAGAAAAAACTATATACATACTAATATACATCTATATATATGTATATAAGTTTATAAACATAAATTTAAACTACAGTTAAAGAAGCAGCATAGTAAACAAAAGTCATAAGAGAAAATAGATAAAGTGAGAGAAAGAGAAAAACGATGCTTAGAGTTGCGTTGCACATTTTTTTAAATTTTCATCGTTTGCCAAGCAGACAACACAATTAGCACGTGTATATATAAATATATGTGTGTGTGTGTGTGTGCACTCTGCAAACTGCAACCCACACACACGTACACACATTCAGACGTATATATACAAAAACACACACACGCGCGAAGGAGAACATGAGAATTGCATATTTTATTGATTATATACATACATTTATATATAAATATA